TGGGTGAGCCGAGTATAGGCTGGGTTTCAGCTCCTGCTTCCCCTTGGCTGGTCGTCCTTATGCAGTACCCACCTGGTCCACAGGGTGGCAGTACCACTTGAGAACAGTTCCTCCTGCCTGAGGCTGGGTTCTGGGAATGGAAGGGCTGAGGCACCCTCTCCAGGCACCCATGCCCACTAACTCAGCAGTGGGCACACTTGGGTCCCCACCCACCAGCCCGGTAGGCAGATTGGCTCATGTATGACCTCTCCAGTGAGAGATACAGCTTAGGCTCACGCCAGGATCCTTACTAGGAGAGCTGTCCTGCGGCTAGCTGAGGTGGACACAGTTTCTGCGTTAATTTCTCTGTGGATTAGGATAACCATCTGTGAAAGACGGATAACGCTAGTACATACTGCACAGTGCTGCCGTGAGAGTTAAAAAAGAAAAGTTATTTAGGAAAGAAATAAGATAAATGGGAGTTGGCTGATGGGGCTGGGAGCAGAAGAGCAGGAGCAGGCTCAGGAGCTGAGACGAGGGGGTGGTGCTGAGCTCCACACTGGCTTTTTGGAGGTCCTGTTCCAGGCCCTACGCCACCCCATTATTTTGTGACCACATTTTTCCTTCAGATACATGGGCCACATGTGATTAGGCCATGTCTTCTTTCACATCAGCAAAACCTAATTGGGTTTCCAGGCTCTTCCTGCTCTTCATGTGGCATGCCTCTGGATTGCTAGATGATGTCTGCAGACATGTTTTATTTTTCTTTTTTGAGGCAGGGTCTTGCTCTATAGCCCTGGGTGGCACGCTACAACCTCCACTGTTTGGCTTAAGCAATCTTCCCAGGTAACTGGGACTACAGGTGCACACCACCACACCCAGCTAATTTTTGTGTTTTTTTATAGAGATGAGGTCTTGACATATTGCCCAGGCTTGTCTCCAACTCCTGGCCTCAAGCAATCCACACACCTTGGTCTCCCAAAGTGCTCGGATTACAGGCATGAGCCACTGAACCTGGCCTTTCTGTGGGTGTTCATTTCATCTCTGAGTGGCTTTTTCCATAACCCTCAGAGTTTTGAGGAAGGTCTAATTGTCACCCTCACAGGCTGGTCACACCCCAGTCCTAGTCAAGGGGATAAAGCTCCTTGCTAAGGGCCCTGGAAGGGGCTTACATGGGCAGTGGGCGGTCAGGGCAGGGAGGAAGCTCTAGGGTCTGGGGCACGTGGATAACTCTCCAAGGAAGAGATGGGCTTTGCTCAGACCATAAGGATAGAGAGGGCCTGAAGGAGGAGGGGGAGGGAGAAGGCGTTTGAGGACTGTGTTGTGGACATCTTCCCATTATGCTCTGGTGTGGGGTCAGTGCTCCAAAGGCCCACAATGGAAGAAGACAGCACTGCCCTTCACTTCAGACCACTGCATCCCTGAGATGGAAACCAGAGGAGTCCCCTTGCCTCCCTCAGAGAGAGAGAGGCTATGCTGGGACAGGAAGCTTGTCCCATGACACTTAGTCCAATATTTAGCTCCCCATGGGTGCTTAGCTCTGGGAACCCTGCTGATCTTGGATAAGGAAGTTCATGGACACAGGGCCATAGCAGAGCGCGGGAAGGACACTTGGGGCTCCAAGGTTAGGTTCTTGGTATTAAGGTGAGAGACAAAATGATCGCCCTCTGACGGAGGAGATTTGCCCTAAAGAGGATGACCGGGAGCTCGCCGTGTGGCAGGGTATAGAAAAGAAGATTTGCCACCTCTATGGAGTAACAGTTGGTGCTAGCATGGGCTGCTAAAGGGGAGGTGGTAGGGCCAGTGAAGAGGGACAGACATGCAGGAAGCGTGTTTCTATCCAAACTATAGGCCTTGGGTTTCTCAGTCTCACCCACCCTATCCACATAAGTCTCAGTGCAACTTCACACCCACTAGGATGACTGCAATAGGGCAAGAATGGAAAAGCAGTGTTGCAAGGATGTGGGGAAACTGGAGCTCTTATAACTGCTCGTAGAAACAGACAGTGGTACAGCCACTAGGAAAAACAGTTCGATGATTCCTCAAAAGGTTAGACATAGAATTGCCACATGGCCCAACAACTCCCTCCTAGGTATATTCCCCAAAGAAGTGAAAACTGGCACTTCAAAAATATATGTATACTCTCTGGGCATGGTGGCTCATGCCTGTAATCCCAGCACTTTGGGAGGCCGAGGCAGGTGAATCACCTGAGGTCAGGAGTTCAAGACCAGCCTGACCAACATGGTGAAACCCTGTTTTTACTAACAACAACAATAACAACAACAAAAAAAGAGCCAGATTACATGCTTGTAATCCCAGCTACTCAGGAGGCTGAGGCAGGAGAATTGCTTGAACCTGGGAAGTGGAGGTGTTGCAGTGAGCTGAGATTGTGCCATTGCACTCCAGCCCGGGTGACAGAGTGAGACTCTGTCTCAAAAAAATAAAAAAATATATATATATGTGTATGTATATATATATATTCACACACTCATGTGTACAGCATATATACATATACACACACACTCATGTGTACAGCATATATATATACACACACACTCGTGTACAGCATATATATATA